GTTGGGGAAACACACATGGTCATGCTGAGCTTTCACCCCGTCTGCTGAACAATCCCTTCCTTGTCCCAAACCCTCCCCAAGGGTCATTCCCTGAAGTGTTTCCGAACAGTTGCTCCTATTTTTATGTTCTCTATATTTATCTGCAGGAGCCATCGCTGAAACCCAGTTCCCCCCCAGTGTGGAGGGGGGGGAAGCCCTGGCTGGAATTCCAGCAGGGAACCTCAGATTACAGCCTCTGATCCGCTGGGATTTGGGGAGAGGGGGGGTGGGTTCACCAAGTCACCTTCCCCCAGTGTGTTTGCATCCATGTTGGGGTGTCCCCTAAAAAAAGCTCTGGCACTGGTGGGGTTATTTTTGGGGGGGGGGTTTCTTCTCGTTCTTGGTGATGGGGACAATGTTGGGGTTGGTTTTATTTTCCTTAGTTCCCACCAGGAGCTTCAGGGCTTTTCTCCACCCTGCCAGAGCAGCCAGGCACATCCCACCAGGCTGTGGGTTTGTGCTTCCATCACCCCAACCTGGGATGCCCCAAAAATCTGGGGTGGGGCTGGGATATCCCACTCTGGGCTGTCCCAGAAAGGGGAGAGGGGAGGAGAACTGGGTTATCTTCTCCTTGGAGGTCCCAGAAATGTTGGTGCTGAGGCCTGGAGGTGGGCTGTGAGTTTGGCAAAGCTCTGGTAACAACCAGGAGGTGTCACCTCCTGGTCCTTGTGCTCCATCCCTGTGGCAGAACTCGGTCCTCTAAGAGATGCCCTCAATCCTTGGGTTAAGCTTGGCCTTAGATCTGCTTTCCCTGTTCCTGCTGGGATTTAAATCCGTTTGGCTTTGCAGCAGTGACCTTGGGATGCTCTGGCAACCTGGGATGTGCAGGATATGTCATCACACAGCTCACGGTCCCCCAGCCATGGTGGGATGTCCCCATCCCCTTCCAAGGTCATCCTGGCTCCTCCTGGGGCCTGGCAGCTCCTTAAAACATCTCAGAAGGGTCCCAAAAGTGTTACAGGGGATGGTGCCACTGAAAACTGGGGCTTGGTGGCTCTTGGCGTGGAGGTGCAGCTCCCCAGGAAGGGGAGGAGGGTTGGTTGGCTTCACGCTGGTGTGTTCCCTAACTGGGAACAACTGGGAGGAGCTGGAACACTGAGGAGACTCATTTCAGGCTGTTCCACCCCATAGTTACGGGACCATCCTACAAACACCCAACTCTGCCCCGCTCGCCTTCCCCCAGCATCTCCCCTCCTGAGTTTAATTAGCTCAGACCCATGATGTCGGTCACTAATTAGGAGAAACTCGTCAGGCAGAGGCCCTAACGAGGCTGTGGTGGGGCTCTCATGGGACCGTGACGACCGGGGGAATTTCCATGAGGGCAGCAGAGCCTGGATCCGGGTTGGGGTTATTATCCCCTTTTATTTTTTTCCCCTCCCTTCCCCTGTGCTCTCAGCATGAATTTTAATTTTAACAGCTAATTGCTGAGCCCAAAGAGTGTGTTTGTGTGTGTGGGGGGATGAGCCTGGGGGAGACACCTTTTCTTCTCCTTGATTTTTAAAAAAAAATTTGAATATATTTAGTCTTTTGAGTGACTTCATTTCCTTGAGGCAGAAAGGACAAGGATTTCCTCAGGAGCAGGGAAAAAAAAGCCCTTTATTTCAGGGTGTTTGACATCATCTCCTCCTTCCCCTGCTCCTTGCAGGGTTGGGTCTTTTGGATGGAGTTGGGATCTGCAAAGGGAAGGGGTGATGTTGGACCTCCCATAAATACCTGTGACACAACTTTCCTGGGGATGGTTGTTCAGCCTTGGAACATCTCTAGGGGGTTGGAATAAGTGCCCCCCAAAAATTGCTTTTCCAATGGGATTATTTTTTTTTCCCCAGATGGTGACCCTGGTGTTCCTTTGGGCAGGTCTCCCACTGGTGATGAAGAGGATTGAGATGCTCTGGGGGGTCCTCAGCATCCTGGGGGTGAGTTTGGCCTCATCCAACCCGTCCCCCCCCTTGGGGACCTGAGCTGCACAGGTTGTGTGCGAGGGGGATCACACCTGGCACGGGAGGAGGGGCTGGCACCTGTGCTGGGGGTCACTGGTGACAGGGTTGGTGCTTCTGGTGGGGGGGGG